TTCGGAATTTCCACCGAGGAGGTCGGATTCCGTCTTGAATGTGGTATTGAATGTGTGAATGTTTGTAGTTATAGAGTATTCAATTGGCCATAATTTGAATCCCATTATTAACGGAGACCTAGGACTATTTATAGTAATGCATGTTCGGTGGTTACTGTTCACTGGGGTCACGACAATTTAATGTTGGCTGACAAACATTTAATGTGGACATGCTACTCTAGAGCATAGTTTTTTTACCCAGACCGGACCGGACCGGTGGTCGACCCGAGACCCGGCTGACCCGAAGCCGAACCCGGTTCGGGTAGGCTATTTGGACGGGACAACAAAGGACCCGGTGGCCCTTGCCTTACACGGAGATCACCAGCCAAGGCTCACGCCCTGACTACCAACAATAATAAAGGAGACTACCCAACGGGTACGTTCTATAGCTACGGGGATAACCGTTCGACGGCCAGTACAACTCACATCGAAGACTACATGATTCACATGCATACTTTGATCATACCACAAATAAAACATTTATGACATAGGAAATTTTTCAAATAAAACCCACCTGGTGTCGAATGATAAAGCAAATAACCAGAAAGTCGTAGGTGGTTGAGACACTGCTCGCCAGATACCTACATAAGTCAAGACAGTCCCATAAGCAACTATCTCGATTTTTACACAGATAACGAGAATTATACTTAGTCGAATCACATCGACTAAGAAACTCGTTGAAGTTATGGAGTTGGAACATTAGGACAACTTCTAGACTCGACCAATCAACTAATAAATCATAGAAACGCAGGCAACAAAGATTTGACAAGGAAACGAGGTCAACGGGTCAAGGATTTGCCAATAAGGCCAACCGGTGCCCAAAAAGGGTTAAACGGACTAGTTCAAAATTTATAAGAATGAGACCATAAGGAGTTAGGCTTGGAATTTTCAAATCAAATTTTTACAGCATATAAAAGACTGAAAAACACATATTATCACCAAAGGAAAACCCCTAAACATGCTCCTAATCATTTTAAATAATTTAAGCAAACTCTGACCAGAAATTAAATTAAATCATTTAAAATAGATACAGAACGAATTTAACTTTGAAATTTTTACAGAAGCAAGATATCATGAAGAAGAGCAACATATCCATAAATTAGCCATTTTGGACGAGAACTCGATTTTATATGAATTTATTAAGAAACAGCCCAGAAACGGTTTTCGGGTTTTGACGAGGCTACATGCCATATAAAAATCTCAAATTTTAAATACAGATAATATATCAGCAACTTAACCACATATCCAAAAATCAGAATTTTTGGAGCAATACACGAGTTATAGTGATTTTAGCAAAAACGGGTTGCAACACGATTTTCGAAAATTCATATCTTACAATATACATATCGAAACGACACAAAGCCAAAGCCGTTGCATCAAGGACATTCCTAAGTCCAATAATCCACAACTCTTCCATGAAAAATACTACACTAACCTCAGTTCGACAATTTTTCAAAGTGACGGCAATCACTTTGATATCCAACGATTAATATATATATCAAGATTCACTCAAGTACATATCTACGACACATAATTAATTCGAATATCACACGTTCAGCAATTTAACATGTATACGATCACTTAAACACTTATAGGAGCGAAATAAATAAGTCGAGAGCTAGCCCGAGTACCGTTCTCGGGACGAGGTACGAGTACCGAGCAACGTACGGATCGAACGGGCTTGCTAATGGGATTACGGGACCGCAGCGATAAAGCTCGGGAACAGAGCAGGA